TCATCTGCATAACACAGGTTGTTAATGAGTCTTCCTCCAATCCTGATGCCCCGTTCTTCTTCATATAGTCCAGCTTCTCGGATTATTTGCTCAGCATACAGATTGAATAGGTATGGTGAAAGGATACAACCCTGATGCACACGTTTCCTAACTTTAAACCATGCAGTATCCCCTTGTTCTGTCTGAATAACTGCCTCTTGATCTATGTACAGGTTCCTCATGAGCACAATTAAGTGTTCTGGAATTCCCATTCTTCGCAATGTTATCCATAATTTGTCATGATCCACACAGTCAAATACCTTTGCGTAGTCAATAAAACACAGGTAAACATCTTTCTGGTATTCTCCGCTTTCAGCCAGGATCCATCTGACATCAGCAATGATATCCCTGGTTCCACCTCATCATCTGAATTCGGCCTGAATATCTGGCAGTTCCCTGTCGACATACTGCTGCAGCCACTTTTGAATGATCTTCAGCAAAATTTTACTTGCATGTGATATTAACGATATTATTTGATAATTTCTGCATTCAGTTGGATCATGTTTCTTGTGAATAGGCATAAATATGGATCTCTTCCAGTCAGTTGGCCAGGTAGCTGTCTTCCAAATTTATTGGCATAGATGAGTGAGGGCTTCCAGTGCTCATCTGCTTGTTGAACATCTCAACTGATATTCTATCAATTCCTGGAGCCTTGTTTTTCACCAATGCCTTCAGTGCAGCTTGGACTTCTTCCTTCAGTACCATCAATTATTGATCATATGCTGCCTCTTGAAATGGTTGAACGCTGACCAGTTCTTTTTGGTATAATGACTCTGTATTCCTTCCACCTTCTTCTGATGCTTCCTGCGTAGTTTAATATTTTCCCCATAGAATCCTTCACTAATGCAACTCAAGGCTTGAATTGTTTCTTCGGTTCTTTTAGCTTGAAAAATGCTGAGTGTGTTCTTCCCTTTTGGTTTTCTATCTCCAACTCTTTGCACATGTTATTATAATACTTTACTTTGTCTTCTCGAGCCACCCTTTGCAATATTCTGTTCAGTTCTTTTACTTCATCATTTCTTCGTTTTACTTTAGTTACCTGGCGTTCAAGAGCAAGTTTCAGAGTCTCTTCTGACACCCATTTTGGTCTTTTCTTTCCTTCCTGTCTTTTTAATGACCTTCTGCTTTCTTCATGTATGATCTCCTTGATGTCATTCCACAACTTGTCTGGTCTTCAGTCATTAGTGTTCAGCGTGTCAAATCTTTTCTTGAGATGGTCTCTAAATTCAGGTGGTATATACTCAAGGTCATACTTTGGTTCTCGTGGACTTGTTCTAATTTTCTTCAGTTTCAACTTGAACTTGCATATGAGCAACTGATGCTCTGTTCCATAGTAGGCCCTTATCTTTGTTCTGACTGATGCTATTGAGCTTTTCTATTGTCTCTTTCCACAGATGTAGTTGATTTGATTCCTGTGTATTCCATCTGGCGAGGTCCATGTGTATAGTCACCATTTGTGTTGGTGAAAAAAGGTATTTGCAATGAAGAAGTCATTGGTCTTGCAAAATTCTGTCATGTGATCTCCGGCATTGTTTTTATCACCACAGCCATATTTTCCAACTACCAGTGCTTCTTCTTTGTTTCCAACTTTTGCATTCCAGTCACCAGTAATTATCAATGCATCCTGATTGCTTGTTCAATCAATTTCAGACTGCAGAAGCTGGTAAAAATCTTCAGTTTCTTCATCTTTGTGGTTGGTGTGTAAATTTGAGTAATAGTCATATTAACTAATCTTCCTTGTAGGCATATGGATATTATCCTATCAGTGACAGCAGTGTACTTCAGGATACAGCTTGAAATGTTCTTTTTGATGATGAATGCAGCACCATTCTTCTTCAAGTTGTCATTCCTGGCATAGTAGACCATCTCATTGTCCGATTCAAAAATCATGTGTCTGTCAGTTTGTTGTACTGTGGAGGCTTGTGTGTTGCTGTGATGCTGGAAGCTATGCCACCAGTATTCAGATATCAGCAGGGTCACTCATGGCGGACAGGTTTCAGCTGAGCTTCCAGACTAAGACAGACTGGAAAGAAGGACCCCCGGCAGTCTACTTCTGAAAAGAATTAGCCAGTGAAAATGTTATGAATAGCAGTGCAATGTTGTCTGATATAGTGCCAGAAGATGAACTCTTCAGGTTGGAAAGCACTAAAAAGACAACTGGGGAAAAGCTACCTCCTCAAAGTAGAGTTGACCTTAATGACGTGGATGGAGTCAAGCTTTTGGGACCTCCATTTGCTAATATGGCACGACTCAAAATGAGAAGAAAGAGCTGCAAACATCCATTAACAATCGGAACATGAAATGTACGAAGTATGAATCTAGGAAAATTGAAATCATGAAAAATGAAATGGAACGCATACACATCGATATCCTAGACATTAGTGAGCCTAAGCTTAGTTCTCATCAAAGTGTCATCTTTAACATTCTAATTAAGGTCCCCTTTAAACAAATGTACCAGCTCAGGGAGCTGCTCTGGGAGTGAACCCTTGTCCCTCTCAGCGCCATAATGTTTTTGCTGCCCTCAAGTTGCTTTAGCCAAAGAACCTCTCCAATGCTGGCAGCCGGAAGTGAGGAGATGGGTGCAGTTCTGACTTTTTTTTTTGCCCTGGTATCATTAGCTAAAGGCTAAAGTCACATCTAATTGACCAGAGATGATGGGAGAGAGACAGCTATTTGGTGTGCTTAAATGTTAAGCTTTCTCTCTATTTCTCTCTGACTGTGCTCCCTGTCTATTGAGACCATGGAAAATTAGGACCTCTGGGCTACATTTTCTGATGCTGTGTGTGTGTGCATATGTATAAGTGTGTGCCTGTGTGTGAGAGTGTATGTGTGACTGTGGGTATATGTTTGTGTTTGTGTGTGAGTGTATGTTTATGTGTGTATGTTTGTGTGTGTGTATTTGTCTGGATATGTGTACCGGGTATATAGAAGTATATGTGTGTGAGTGTGTGTCTGTGTGCATGCTTGTACGTGTGTTTGTGTATGTGTTTGGATATGCATGTGTGACTGTGTATACAGCAGTGTATGTGTGTGGATGTGCGGGTGTGTGTGTGTGTGACTGTGTATACAGGAGTGAATGTGTGTGGATGTGTGGGTTTGTGTGTGTCTGTGTGCATGCTTGTATGTGTGTTTCTGTACGTGTTTGGATATGTGTATGTGAGTGTGTGTATACAGGAGTGTGTGTGTGGATGTGGGTGAGTGTGTGGATGTGTGCACGCTTGTACATGTGTTTGTGTGTTTGGATGTGTGTGACTGCATGTATACAGGAGTGTGTGTGGGTGTGTGTGTGTCTGTATGTATGTGTGCACGCTTGTACGTGTGTTTGGCTGTGTGTGTGACTGCATGTACACAGGAGTGTGTGTCTGTGTGTATGTGTGCATGTTTGTACGTGTGTTTGTGTATGTGTTTGGATGTTTGTGTAACTGTGTGTATACAGGAGTGTGTGTGTGTGTCTGTGCGAGTGTGTGTGTGTGCTTGTATATATGTTTGTGTGTGTTTGCCTGGAAGTGTGTGTGTGTGTGACTGTGTGTATACGGCAGTATGTGTGTGTGTGTCTGTGTGAGTGTGTGTGTGTGTGTGTGTGTGTGTGAACGTGTGTGTAGGGTGTTAGAGTTATAACGGGGAGTATGAAGAGAGAGATGTTTCCTGAAATGGAAGCATTTTTTTTTCATTCTTCTGACTTGACTGTAATTACCAAACTGTATGTTTTGCCTCGATCTGAAGGGTGAATTGCTATGTAATACTCTGCGCTTATAAAAAAATACGGTGGGAGGGGTGGGGAAGGTATTGACAAATGAGGCTCAGCGTTCAGTCCAGCCTTTTGCAGAGACACTTAAAATGGGTATATCACGAAGGGCCATCTTTTTGCAAAGTAGGCCCCGAGTGCTCATTGGCTGCCTTCTGTTGACAGCGTGAACATCACACACACACACACACACACACACGCACACACGCACACACACACGCGCACACACACACACTCACACACAC